TACTGAATGTTACATTGATAAGAAAGACTTTTAGAACTCCATGTCTGCTATTGGCAAAAATCGATCCGCCGGCGCCAGCTTCATTGTTATGGAAGTTAGAGTTCACGATTCTTAAAGATGCATTAATATTAGCCGCTAGAGACAAGCAAGAACCTGACTTTTTGGAATCGACAGATTGGTTGTAAAAAGTCGAGTCTTGAATAACTATATTTGCCCAGTCTGACTGAACTACTAAGCATTGCTTATTTGGGTTGTTATGGCATGTCAAGGAGATGAACTTTGCTTTTGTTTCTCTGGCATGTGAGAAATATAAACGTCGATTTCGTTCTCCGCGACGTTTTCCATGGTGATGTAGGTCGACATCTACGAAGGTTTCGTTTGTAATCGCATTTGAAACGTCAAGATGTAGGAAGGGGCCTTCATTGTAAGAACTTTCAACTCTGCAGAAAAATATGTGAATATATACTGGAGAAGAACCATTTTTTGCGACAGATCTGATGATTATGACCTCTCTGCCAGTACCGTGCCAGTATAGACCATTTCTTTCAAACATTGCATCTTTTATATTAAGTGTAACGTCTTGACTTTTTCCTTTAGTATTATTGAGTAAAAGGACGTTGATGCATTGTGAATTATTTCGGAACGTTGAATTGCCTTTTAAGTCAAGCTGAAAAGATGTAACGTTCTGTATTTTGATGGCCAAGGCTCTTGAAGCATTATGAAAAGAACAGTTGTGGATTGTGATGCGCTGGCAGTCATTACAATTTAGCGGAGTTTGTTGAAAATCGATTCCTGACAACACCAAAGCAAATGTCAGCTGTTCGCCATTTGTCTTCTGAAAATAAAATCCATCAGTACATAAAACGTGTGGGGTGGAGTAGAGTCCCCTCAGAGTCAAGGTCTTGTTCACGTAAACACCTGGGCGATCTATCAAAATATTGCGACCGTTTCTGCAGCCATAGGGGCGTTTCTTGGTCCCACGTCCGTCCAGATAGATGTTCCCGCCATGGCCCACGCGATAAACCGCTTGAGCAATGGACCGACAAGGGAGACTTAGGGTGCCACAAGTTTTAGCGTCTTTTCCATGAAGAGAAACATACACATTCACAATGTTTGAACCTGAAATTTTTAAAAATCAGAGCTTTACAAAGTATTACTAGTAAAACGGCATGAGAAATTCCAGAATATAATGATTAATGAATGCCTTTTTATTTAAACTGTGCCGTCATTTAATTGGTGCATGCCAAACTCTCCCGGTCTTCTGCCCATAAACGATCTGTTATAGTTTTTCTTGTTGTTGTTGTTGTTTTTAATACCTTTCTTAAAATAATAAATTAAAAGTACTCTTCTGCAGGACTAAATGATGAATAATATAAATAAGATAAACAAAGTTTAGTTTACAGTATATTGGATGGATGGACGGACGAACTGACCAAATGCGAGGTACCCACGTTCTGGGGCAGCCATTTTCACCTTTCCTTAAATGTGAAAGCTTCATTTGAGCGCTTTGGGCACTGCATGGAGCTTCGTATTAGCATATGAAATCAGTAAGTTCACGTCTACCGGAGATAAGGATACTTACTGTAATAAGTGCATTATTAAAAGTAAAGCAAAGTCCTGTAAACAAGCACATGGATCACAGTCCTGGTTTCCAAATCGTACTGTTACAATCCGATAGCATGTAAAATTTTATTAACAATGTTATAGCATGCCGCGGAGACTATCCAAATGATTAAATCGATTGGATTTTGCGTTACTATCACCGAGAGGTCATCGAACAACTTACCCTTGAGATAATATTTGAGACTGATTTGTTGTCTCAGTTTTGCTTTCGGTCTCCGCATTCAGCTGAAAGCAACTCGTGCGCGCTTTAAAAGCGAAAAAGCTTGCACAAATTATATCCGACTTTCCCAAAACGTCCCAACAAACTTCTGAAATAACAAAAACTCTTCTTCGGTTGGTGACAGTGATGAGGAGGCAGCAATCAAACTTGAAAGGTTTTTTTGATCAAAAAACTAACTTGTGAGTGGCAAGTTAAATTAGAACGGCCGGATGCATCACAAAACTCTCGAAAGTTGTTTTGTTGTCTAGACCGAGACTCAATGCTTATCTACTAGTGCCGATCCGCCGGCGCCAGCTTCATTGTTATGGAAGTTAGAGTTCACGATTCTTAAAGATGCATTAATACTAGCCGCTAGAGACAAGCAAGAACCTGACGTTTTGGAATCGACGGATTGATTGTAAAAAAGTCGAGTCTTGAATAACTATATTTGCCCAGTCTGACTGAACTACAATGCATTGTTTTTTTTTTTGGGTTGTTATGCCATGCCAAGGAGATGAACTCTGCTTTTGTTTCTCTGGCATGTGAGAAATATAAAAGTCGATCTCGTTTTCTGCGACCTTTCTCATTGTGAAGCAAGTCGACATCTACGAATGTTTCGTTTGTCATCGCATTTGAAACGTTAAGATCTTGGAAGGGGCCTTCATTGTAAGAAATTTTAACTCTACAACAAAATATGTGAATTTAATCTGGAGAAGGAAGTTTTTTTGCGACGGAGCTGACCTTTATGACGTCTTTTCCAGTACCGTACCAGTAAAGACCATTTTTTTCAAACACTGTATCTTTGATTTTCAGGGTTCGAACAACTTGTACTCGAGATAATATGTGGGACTGATTTAACCTGCAGTGCAGGCGTCTTATTAGTGCGAGCTAACTTTAAAATCTCGCGATCGTTAATCCGACCGCCCTTGTTTGGTTGGAGTTAGAGTGGACGGTGGGGGTAGGGGGCGGGGAAAGGGCGATAATCTTTACTTCCCCACCGCCACCCCTCTCCTTATTTTTGACCGACAACCACTCCCTTGGTACAAATTTCTTTCTCTCCACAGCCTCTCGTCGCCATGAAAATCAAACGTGGCGGCTATAATTTTTGTTAGGAAAATACTGAGCACTCGCTCGCCAAAATTACGCCTGCTCTGCAGGCTAGGACTGATTAAATGTTTTAGTTTGCTTCCGGTCTCCGCATTCAGCTGAAACCAACTCGTGCGCGCTTTAAAAGTTAAAAAAGCTGGCACAAATTATTTCTGGCTTTCTGGGGAACGATTAAGCAATGATTGTTCGCTCTTAAAGTGGAAATTTATGAAGTAATATTTTCACCCGATTAGCAACGGTGAGAGTTCCAATCAAGGTTTAAAATTGACCAAAATAATTTTGGTTTCTAATTGGACAAGCTAAAAGAAAGCATAAATCGAGCTACAAACATTTTTGACGACGTAAAGCTTCCTTTAGCATTTGTAAAGTTCAAATAACGACTGACTGCTGGAATATTTGTCCAAGAATAGTTTAAGCGGAAAACTGTGTTCCAAAATAAGCATCCATTTGAAGCAATGATATGACAAGAAAACGATTTTAGCAATAACATAATGACCATCAGGTACGAAATTAATCGGGTCATCACTAATTAAATTACCTGAGCTTCTGCTTGACAATGCCAAAATCAAGAGAGCCAGTAACAAACGGTTTACATACGTCATGAGACTTTTAAGCACTTAGCCCTCACGAATAATTCTGATTTCCTCCTCACGTAAATCCACACTGTTTCGAACCAAGAAAACCCTAGGAACTAACGTTTTTTAGAAAGCGAAAGGCTAATTCGCAATTTCCGGTGTCGTCACAACTTTCTGTTATCTCGTAATTTGATGAAATTTTCGAAGATCTGTAGTTCGCAGACTCGATCTTCTACAGACAAGTGGGTCACACCGTCTCGCGGGTGGCAAAAACATTGAAAGCGACAAAAACAATCTATAATTTTGATTTAGGAGAAAAGTTTATTAGCGCATTTCAGTGCATTTCGGTGCATTAAGGAAAAGAGTCAAAACAATTCTCACGTCTAAGTATTCAGACTCAAAACTTTTATATTTTTAGTGAAGGGCGCCTGTGTCGCGCCACTCATTTTACCGACTTCATAGTTATTCGCAGCAGAAGCTTACTTTCCACAAGAACTGAATTTCTTCCCAAAAAAAAAGGGATAAGTTTCTGGAGAAACTGTGTCGCTGAGACGGCGGGGAGTTTAACAAGATAATTTGGTTTTATCAACTGACTTCATAATGGAAACTGGCCAGCGTAAAGAGATTCAGAGCTGACGTATCGAACTTCAGCCCTTCGTCTGAACGAAACTGGTGGCCCATTTACATCATCAACTCTGTTGCTAAAACCAAATTATCTCGGTTCCCGAGAAAACTGAGAAAAAAAAAATGAGTCCACGTCGACAATCTTAGACGGTAGATTTCTTGCCAGAACAATTTCAAAAATTAGGAAAAACTAATTGATGAAAGAAAAGAAGGCAAGGAAGATATTTATTGAGAAAAAGGTGGATGTCTCTGATACTCTGATTTTGTGAATGCTTTGCAGCCAACAGATATCTTCACTAGATTGATCCCTACACATTAGACGTCAACTTCTAAGGATCACCATTATCCAAATGATTTTTAAATTCCTTAACTAGTGCCCGGAGCGAATTTAACCAAGACATTTACCTGGACTGAAAAAAGCAGAAATGGAAATTTTCTTCAAACTGTATGTGTTTTTCAAATACTCTGTCCGCCATTTTGTACCGTCACTCTTGAATAGCGATGAGAGAATGGCAACCACAACAACGTAACTACGTCCCAGGTCTCCAGACGTCTCGTTCCCCGTGGCGGAAAATAGTGAACAGCATGGAGGAAGACAAAGCGGTGACACGAATCTAAATTTTCTTAAAACTATTATTTTCCCTGCAAAAGTTTTGGAAGAGAACAATTGGCAATAGTTTGATTCCCACTTTCAAGCTGTGATTGATCACAGACAGTGTGGCGCGTGCGAAGTGAATTCTGTAATTTCGAAATGCCCAAACTACACTTTGCCTCTCAACGCATTTTATCCTTTTTCATTGGCCGACACTCGCCACGTTAAACTAATGTTAAACTAATGATCGGAAAAACTCCCAGTTAATTCAATCATCCGCCTCCCAGTAATGTTTCACTCTAGAGCTCTTTGCACGACCAAAAGAAAATTTTCCAGCATAGGACTGAATTAAAAGATTCATCGACATGAGCTCGTCGAGGTCAGCAAATACGAATATGGCCCCGCAAAAATATTCAAGAGGCAAACCTATCCTTAGGGCCTTTTTCCTAAGTTTTTAAAAAATGTGAATTATTGGCTTAAGAATTTCGCCATTTTCAATCTAAGATTTAGGTTGGTCCACATGAAAGGATATGCTCAAACCGTGTCGATCACAAAAACACGAAATGAATGCATTGTAACCGACAATTCGAAATTACCTGTGACTGATCTTTTACGGATGTTAATAAATGGTGGAATGCGAAATGGTGAAGGGGGAATGGTATATGGAAAATAGAAAATATCCAATTTTATTTTTTCCATTTCCCATTCCACATCTTAGTAACATCCCATCTTTTACCAATCGAAAGACAGAGAAGTCCGTTAAATGCTTTATTAATGAATGTAATATTATTCAAAACTTGTTGTTTTATACGCTTATACACATCCTATTAACAGCTTTTCTTCCTTATTCATTCCCAACCGGTCGAGTCAGTCTAAAAAAAGAGCATTTTTTTTTTAAATGCTAGTTAAGCCTTTTCAACGTAATCCTGTCGTAAACGCCAAGTGATTCAGACGCACAACCATGTGTTACCGTGCAAAATCAGGTTTTACCCCTATCATAAGTCTCTTCCAACTTTGATTCAACCTCATTTTGTGTGTCATTGGAGGGAAGAAGAAGCTGAACTTCAAGATCAATGAAAATTACTGTAAGATTAATGTGTAACACATACTGATATCCCAAAATCTGATGGAGATCTCACAAGAAGCTAATTAAGGGTCCGAATAATTGTTTTTTTCTCGCGGATGAAAAAAAAAAAAAAAACTAGTGCCGTTTAGACCAATTGATTGACTAGTTAATTTTTGCCCCAAATGAGTTGGGAAGCTACAGTGATAACAAAATCAACCGAAAGAAATTAAGGTAAAAACAAAGTAGTATTTGAGATTCTAGACAAGATTCTAGTGACATGTACATATATGAAGCTTAATTTAGCGTTTCGATGTAAGACATATGAAACACTTTACAG